GAACAAATAAACATAGATTGTGTACTTACGTACTGAAGACATATTTTTAATGCGTTTCTACCAATTATTCCAGAATCCTGGTGTTACAAGATTCTTTTACCTTTTTACACAAATAAAAGCGAATTCAGCCACTGCGTTCCAGTCAGTCGTTATAGGGCTATCATACTGACCTCTGATCGTTGGAAATAAGTAACGGCAGGTACTCAAAGATTTCTACGTTCATTAAACATCAAAAGTCAACACGCTGCTAGGAGGTGGGGCTTGTAGTGTACCAGTTCAGGTTAATATCGCCCTCTTAGCTATTTCATTCATTGCTGTTCTAATTAAAATGAACCAGTATTAGGTAAGTTTAAAAAAAACAAGCTGTCAGGCATATTATCTTAGTCCTTAGGAGTGACTCCTTTCCTTGATGTTGGTTACAGACGTCCATTGGTTGCAGAAGTAAATTATTATCAAGTCGACTTAGTTAGTTCGTATATTACTGTCAATATAAAAAATATGTAACCAAACAACGCCTTTTCCTTAGTTTAATTTCAAACCAAAGGAAATATAAAATAATATAAAATGGTATGCCAAATTGTCTGATATGTCTAATTTGGAGGGGATTTTATTGAAGGTCTGTCTATATTCAGATAAAATATTGTAACATTAATATATGAGAAACGTCAAAAGGCGTTCGAAGGTGTCCGACAGGGTGGCGGACTCTTCCCACTCTATCATTATTTTAAAAATGAGTGGAGCACTGTTCCAGCAAGTAGGTGTCAGTATGATTACTTACATACTGTGAGACACGGCCTTTCAGGCCGCGGGGCCTGAGACCTATAAAGCCGTAAAAGTCAAAAGGCTAACAGCATTAACATCATCAGAAACTAGTCGTCCACATTGGATTTTTTATTAATTGAGGACGTCCACGGACTGCACTAGCTTTTATAGAGTAAGCTGGTAGGCATTCTTTTATTCCAATGTTATAAAAAGAAAATAATAGAAAGAAACCATTTCATGGTTTTTTTTTTATAGAAAAAAAAGACGAACGAGCACACGGGCCACGATGGTAAGTCGGCTATGGGCCATAGACATCTACATCTATCCTCGTTTAAGAATCAAATCCAACCTCATTTCCAACAAAAAGAATCTCCGGTTCTTTACACTCGCGATACGAAACACACCAGCATTAGGCTGCTGTTTTACGCCGGATCCTGTAAAAGCGTAATTCTTCCCCGGCCGAGCTAACCCATTCGTGCTAAAGCCATAACATCGCTGTAGTCTATCTCGTGTAAAAATGGTAAGTGGATATGGCTATGGCTGTTATGATCTTTGCTTGTTATAAAACCAAAAAACAGATAAGTTGTCACCGCTGAAAACTAAGATGGAATACATCATTACAAATAAAAGTGGTCTCCGTGAGTCACCATTCTGTTGCTGTGCTTCGTATGGTAATTGAAGAGAAACACCTTTTGGTAAGTCGTGGATTACGTACATCGTGTGACTCTGTGTGTACTCATTTGTAACTCTGACTTGTATAAAAAAACGATATCACAAAATATTTAAGTATACTTACGTTGAGTAATAAGATTAAATATTATTATTGTTTTCTATTACTACAAAATGTTTGGACATTATAAAAATTTTATCGTAAATTCATCAAAAAATCAATTTCACGTCACAATTTTTTACAAAATCATCTGCGGTGGAGTACAAAATATAACCGTTTAATAGCATTTACTATATTTTAAGTATGTTTGATTTATTGACATCGAAGTCACAGTTTCTGCGTCCCATTATCACAATACACCCAAACAGTCTTGATATATGACGTCGTAAATCTCAAATTAGAGGTTTACGCGCCTTTTACAGCAGGTCATATAAAGCGGAACTAATCAGTCTACGAGTCGATATCTCCAAATTTTGGGACCCTTCTTGTGTTGCATGTGGGAATAGGGAATGAAATTCCCCTCATGCGTCTGAAATAGGGTAACATTGGAAAGAATGTCGTAAAATTTATGAATCGACTTTTCCACATGTTCGCTTGGGTAGCACCACAAAACTACGAGTAGATACACACAGGTATATACTATAGGACAGTATATGCTTAGACTTACGTATCTTAACAAATACTAAGTAACAATAAAAAAAATTATAACCGCACATTTTGCGCACACTCCGTAACGAATCGTATAGAATATTTAGATCTAGATAGTATGCGTCAATGGGGCAGCCACATATCAAAACTAGCAAGCAGACTTAGTTCTGCGGCATATGCTGTAAAGAAGATTAGAAATCTTACCAGTGTTGAAACAGCTAGACTAGTTTACATTAGCTATTTCCATAGCATAATGTCGTATGGTATTTAGCTATGAGTACACGCGACTGACACTGAAAATATATTTGTTTTACAGAAAAGGGCCATAAGAGCAGTCTATGATTTCAGATCTAAAGAGTAGCTCAGATAAAAAATTAAGATAATTAATATGTTAACTTTGGTCTCTCAATACATTTACGAAAATGTAAAGTAGTTTTAAAAATAATTGATAATAATTCTGTAAATACTAGGAACAGACACAAGCTAGTAGTACCAGTTTCTAAACTCCACCAAGTCCGTAATTCATTTATATGGCGAGGTATACGCTTTTACAACAAAATCCAAAAAAATGTATAAAGTTACCTCCTCAATGTTCAAAAACTTTATTAATAAACAAGGTAATTTATGGAAGACCTTTGTAAATGAGGAAGCTATTTCTAGTTTATTTTGTTTTTAATTGTGTAACATATTTAAGCTGTTGCTTTTTTTTTGTTTAGTTTCGATTCAATCAAATCAATTTTCTTCTTTTTCATTAGCCCGTAAGAGTTCACTGTTGAACATGGTGGTCTTCCGTTGTAAGGAGGATTTTCCGTCATCGTCACGCTTGCAGGCGGATAGACGAATGCAGTACCAGAACTCCGACGCTACGCTCGCCGCCAGTCTGGGTATTTTACGTCATTTTTTATAGGATAGGGGAGCAAGAAAGGATCATACATGCCACCTGATAGTAAGTGGTTGCTGTGGTCCATAGACATCTACATATATCCTCGATTACGAATTCAAATGCAATATGTGCGCATTGCATGGAAACATTGCATTTTGATATAACCTAAAAAGCCTAATCCTTCTACGTTTTCAGATTAACGTTCTATCTCTATTCACTCCTGAGGACTAAGATGGAGTACCTCGTTTCTAGTAAAAAGGGTCTCCCGTTCTCTACACTCACCGTACGAAACACAGCATCATTAAGCTACTATTTTACGCTGGTATTCTGTGAGAGCGTAGTCCTTCCCCGGTCGAGCCGACCCATTCGTGCTTCAACTATACTTCTAATATAACTGCAGTATGACTCTAACACGTAAAAGAACTTCGCCTGAAGTAATCGAGAGCCATACGTAAGTTTGAGTAACGATACAAGAGCAAAGTTATATTCGACAATATTCCGATGACATCCCGGACGTCAGTGTGAGCGAGATTAGGATGGCTCTCTTAAAACCGGCAAGGCCTCGAGCGAGGGTGGAATTACAGCGGAGCTTTTGAAAGTGGGTGAAAAACCAGTACTTGAAGTCCTTCAGAAGAAAGGCGATAATGTTTTCTTGAAGAACTACAGACCGATTTCCCTTTTGAGCCGCGTCTGCGTGCTGTTTTTGAGAGTCATTTCGAATTATTTCGCACGCAGACTCGACGACTTCCAGCCTTCCGAACAAGCCAGTTTTCGAAAAGGCTTTAAGTAACATATACCATATACACACCCTTCAACAAATTGTACAGAAGACTGAAGAGTACAATCTGCCCCTTAACCTTGCGTAAGTGGACTATGAGAAAGCCTTTGATTCCGTCGAAATTTGGACGGTGCTACAGTCCCTCCATCGGTGCCAAGTTGACTGGCAGTTTATGGAAGTGCTGAAGTGTTTCTAGTTTCTACAGTAGAGCTACGATGACTACCCAACTACAGAACCGTAGCACGAAATCTTTCAAAATGCAAAGACAGGGTAAAGTTATATTCCCGTAACTCTTCACCGCTGCATTGAAAGACGTTTTCAAGCTACTGGACTGGAAAGAATTCGGCATTAACATCAATGGCGAGTACATTACTTGTCTTCAATTTGCCGACGATAAATTCCTTATGGCAGAATCGCTGGACGACCAAAGCACTACGCTTAATGACTTCATTAGTGTCTCCAACGGATAGGTTCAAAGATGAACATGGGTAAAACAAAGGTTATGTGTAACGTCCATGTCACACCTATGCCGTTAGTTTTTGGGAGTACTGCGCTCGAAGTTGTTGACGAGTTGTGTTTACCTAGGACAAATAGTCCGAATAGGTAAATCCAACTTCGACCGAGAGACCCCTGTTTTAATATTACAAAAATAATTATAAACCTGGGGTTTTATCGGTTCCTATACCTATGTCTTAGATCTGTAGAAATATTTTTGCTGCTTAGCTCTTTATGCAGGTTACGTAATTTTCTTCCCACATTAACTAAAGTTACGCTCGCCCAGTTTATACCTCTGCCTATCCTTGACTGTGCTGGTATTTGCTATTTTGACATTACCGAGGAGCAGCTTAATAACTTTGAGCGCATTCTAAATTTATGTATTAAGTAAATTTATATTTGGGCTCCGCAAATGTGACCATATCTCTGAATTTCGCTAACAGTTCAAATGGCTTCCGATTTACTTTCGTAGGAATAGGTACACACAATCTCTCCTCTTTGTTTGGCGTGCTGTTAAATCCTTCCATTTCTCATTATTTAAAAGACCGTTTCTAATATCTTTTCTTTACCAATAATCTCTTTACTGCTCCACATTCGTCGTGACTTACAACGCTATTAGATAAATTACTTTTCCTACTCTTTTCGTACTCTTTTCATTTAATTATTTTATATTATATATTATTTGAAATTTTTTTGGTGTACAATAAAGAATCAATAAATAAATAATTCCCTTTTTGCATGCGCAAATTAATTAACAAAAATATTTATAACACTATCGAATTTAAGCTATGCTTTTTTAACTTTATAAATGTACTTACTTCATAATTGTAACTTAAAAGCAATAGGGCTGTTGATACGTTGTCGTCAGTGGTTTCTTTCTCGCACAAAGGCTTGTTTCTTCTGGTTTCTTTCTCGCAGAAAGGCTTGTTTCTTCTGGTTTCTTTCTCGCAGAAAGGCTTGTTTCTTCTGGTTTCTCTCTCGCAGAAAGGCTTGTTTCTTCTGGTTTCTTTCTCGCAGAAAGGCTTGTTTCTTCTGGTTTCTTTCTCGCAGAAAGGCTTGTTTCTTCTGATTTCTTTCTCGCACAAAGGCTTGTTTCTTCTGGTTTCTTTCTCGCAGAAAGGCTTGTTTCTTCTGGTTTCTTTCTCGCACAAAGGCTTGTTTCTTCTGGTTTCTTTCTCGCACAAAGGCTTGTTTCTTCTGGTTTCTTTCTCGCACAAAGGCTTGTTTCTTCTGGTTTCTTTCTCGCACAAAGGCTTGTTTCTTCTGGTTTCTTTCTCGCACAAAGGCTTGTTTCTTCTGGTTTCTTTCTCGCACAAAGGCTTGTTTCTTCTGGTTTCTTTCTCGCACAAAGGCTTGTTTCTTCTGGTTTCTTTCTCGCACAAAGGCTTGTTTCCTCTGGTTTCTTTCTCGCACAAAGGCTTGTTTCTTCTGATTTCTTTCTCGCACAAAGGCTTGTTTCTTCTGGTTTCTTTCTCGCAGAAAGGCTTGTTTCTTCTGGTTTCTCTCTCGCACAAAGGCTTGTTTCTTCTGGTTTCTTTCTCGCACAAAGGCTTGTTTCTTCTGGTTTCTTTCTCGCAGAAAGGCTTGTTTCTTCTGGTTTCTTTCTCGCAGAAAGGCTTGTTTCTTCTGGTTTCTTTCTCACACAAAGGCTGGTTTCTTCTGGTTTCTTTCTCGTACAAAGGCTGGTTTATTCTGGTTTCTTTCCTGCACAAAGGCTCAGGCTTAGTATTCTTGGCGCTATATCGCCAGGGGTAGGGCTATATGATAATTGAGTGAATCTTGGAAAAGGGTATTCAGTTGATTAGCTTCATCATCATCATCATCATCACAGCCCTTCACAAGTCCACTGCTGAACATAGGCCTCCCCCAAGTAATGCCACAAAGCACGGTCCTGAGCCACCTGCATCCATCGACTTCCTGCATATCTTACCAGGTCGTCACTCCATCTAGTGGGGGGTCGCCCTACACTACGCCTACCGGTACGAGGTTGCCACTCGAGAACCTTTCTTCCCCATCGGTTATCGGTTCTTCGAGCTATATGGCCGGCCCATTGCCACTTCAGCTTACTAATCCGTTGGGCTATGTCGGTCACTCTGGTTTTACTGCGGATATCCTCATTTCTGAGTCTATCACGCAGAGAAACTCCGAGCATAGCCCTCTCCATAGCTCGCTGAGCGACCTTGAGCGTCCTCATACGGCCAGCAGTGAAGGACCACGTCTCTGATCCGTAAGTCATCACTGGCAACACGCACTGGTTGTACACTTTAGTTTTCAGAGATTGAGGTATACCTGACGAGAAGATATGTCGTAATTTCCCGAACGCTGCCCAGCCGAGTTGAATCCGTCGATTGACCTCTCGGTCGAAGTTGGACTTACCTAGTCGGAATATTTGTCCCAGGTAAACGTACTCGTCAACAACTTCGAGCATAGTGCTCCCAACAACTACCGGCATAGGTGTGACATGGACATTAAACATAATCTTTGTTTTGTCCATGTTCATAGACCGCCGTGTAGTGGCGGTTAAGAATATCCACTACCCCATATCTTCCCGTGGGTGTCGTAAAAGGCGACAGAGGGAAACAGGCAGGAGATGGGCAGCAGCATCTTCCTGATAACAGCAATTGTACGACAAAAAAAATGCGGTTGCTAACCCGCTCGCCAAGCGTGGCAACTATGGCAATATACCCCCCATAAACAATTACACAAATAGACGGCCCCCAGTCCCCGGCGGCCCCGCTATTCCTGGCTACGGTGGCGACCATGGTAACGGCGGGGCAGGGGGGTGCTAAGAATCTCCGGTGGAGGTTCGGTTTCCACCTACGACGACTCGACCTGGCAACATTTAACGCACGCACACTGAGGACTGACGAGAAGATCCTGGAGCTGGAAGAAGAGATAGACAAGTTGCGCTGGAGTATTATAGGATTATCCGAGGTCCGAAGACAGGGGGAGGACACGGTGATTCTCGAATCCGGCAACTTGTTCTATCACCGGGAGGGCGACCATCTGTCCCAAGGAGGTGTCGGATTTATCGTCCACAAGTCTCTCGTCAACAACGTTGTACAGATTGAGAGTGTGTCGACGAGGGTCGCGTATCTGATACTCAGAATCACCAAACGGTATTCGCTGAAGGTCATACAGGTTTACGCACCAACGTCGGCACATTCCGATGAGGAGGTGGAGGAAATGTATGAGGATATTTCCAAAGCCATACATTCCTCCAAAACCCACTACACGGTGTTGATGGGAGACTTCAACGCAAAACTAGGCACAAGAGAAAACGGTGAGCTGAAGTTAGGGAAATTTGGAGTAGGGCAACGGAACCGAAGGGGCCAGCAGCTGGCTGACTTTATGGAGAAAGAGGGACTCTTTATGATGAACTCTTTCTTCCAGAAGCGGCCCCACAGGAAGTGGACCTGGTCGAGCCCCGACGGTTCGACAAAAAATGAGATTGACTTCATTATGACGACCAGACGCCAACTGTTCAGTGATGTCTCAGTGATCGCAAGGGTGAAAACCGGCAGCGATCACCGAATGGTTAGAGGCACACTGAACCTAAACGTTAAGTTGGAGAGGTCTCGTCTAATGAAGTCAACGCTCCGTCCCCCTCGTGCTCTAATCCAAAATCCCGAAAACTTTCAGCTCGAGTTACACAACCGCTTTCAGTGCCTACAAGATTGCAATGCAGTGGACGATATGAATGACAAGCTCGTGGAAACTGTCCATGCGGTCGGAGCTAAGTTCTGCAAGACCCGCCGCAGAAGAACACAAAAACTCTCCGATCACACTCTTAATCTCATGGCTGTTAGACGGGAGATGAGGCTGCAATCGTCAACAGATTTGACAGCATACAGGCAACTGAACAGACAGATCTCCAAATGCATGCGGCGAGACTTACGCAACTTTAATACTGCTCGTATTAAAGAAGCGATCGAGCGGAACCAGGGCTCCAAAGTCTTTGCCAGAGATCTGTCTGCCAGAAAGAGCCAACTGTCAAGGCTGAAGACTGAGTGTGGCAGCATCGTTTCCGGGACACCTGAGATTTTGAGTGAGATTGAGAGGTTCTATGGGCAGCTGTACACATCATCGTTGGAGCCACACGCAAGTGTGAGTAACGACCCAAGAGCAAGTCTTATCCGACACTATTCCGATGATATCCCGGACGTCAGTCTAAGCGAGATTAGAATGGCTCTCCAGCACCTTAAAAACGGCAGGGCCCCAGGCGAGGATGGAATTACAGCGGAGCTTCTGAAAGCGGGTGGAACACCGGTACTTGAAGTCCTTCAGAAGCTCTTCAATTCCGTCCTCCATGGTGGCACTACTCCAGAGGCGTGGAGCAGAAGTGCGGTGGTCTTGTTCTTTAAGAAAGGCGACAACGCTCTCTTGAAGAACTACAGACCGATTTCCCTTCTGAGCCGCGTCTACGTGCTGTTTTCGAGAGTCATTACGAATCGTCTCGCACGCAGACTCGACGACTTCCAGCCTCCCGAACAAGCCGGTTTCCGAAAAGGCTTCAGTACCATAGACCACATACATACCCTGCGGCAGATTGTACAGAAGACTGAAGAGTACAATTTGCCACTTTGCCTGGCGTATGTGGACTATGAGAAAGCCTTTGATTCCGTCGAAATTTGGGCGGTGCTGCAGTCCCTTCAGCGGTGCCAAGTTGACTGTCGGTATATCGAAGTGCTGAAGTGTTTGTACAGTAGGGCTACGATGGCTATCCGAGTACAGAACCAGAGCTCGAAACCTATCCAACTGCAGAGAGGTGTAAGACAGGGTGACGTTATATCCCCGAAACTCTTCACCGCTGCTTTGGAAGACGTTTTCAAGCTACTGGACTGGAAAGGATACGGTATTAACATCAATGGCGAGTACATCACTCACCTTCGATTTGCCGACGATATAGTCCTTATGGCAGAATCGCTGGAGGACTTAAGCACTATGCTCAATGACCTCAATAGTGCCTCCCAACGGATAGGTCTTAAGATATGATTAGCTTGGCACAGTTTATTATATTGCTTTTCTAAAAAGTTATATATAATTATGAAATTTAACTTAATAAAAACATGTTTATTAAAAAATAGGTAATATTTTCAACAAGACGTTTTATGTAGTAGACCTTATATGAGAATAAATATTATTTTTGTTTGCTAGGGTATCAAAGCAAGAAGATGTAAAAATTCTAAAAGTAATTTAACCAATATAAGGGCTTACAAATTCATAATATGTAGGTAATACAATCTTGTTCAATCGCGATGAGATTCACTTCAAATTCACTCCGATCCTTTTACAGTGTAAATATGAAATTAATCGCATCACCTCCCGAAAAGTACAGAACAACGTCTGCCGAGCTAGCTAGGTGAATATATATAGGTATATATATATATATATATATATATATATATATATATATATATATATATATATATATATATATATATGTCGTAATGTTCGAGTTTTTATGTACTTTTGATAATACATATTTTCCTATACAGCTACGTGATCATAATAACAAAGTAAATAATACCTAACCTACCAGACTTTACGGTGCACTCTTTTTATCAGGGGCGCTCGTAAAGCTTTTTTATTTTTACGACGGACGTGTCTTCCCGCTACCGTCTACTTCAATTATTTATACGTATCATTAAACTTTAGATCTACTACGAGTTATATAGACCCACTATCGATTTACCGGGATTGTCAAGGGACACTCGTTCTACTTTAATGCGCGTATGTATCAGTATCTAAAATAGATAGGGAAAGATTGCAATCGTATTAGAACCAGCGATTTCATTGGATTATTTAATTATTTCGAAAACTAAGCCCGTGAGCGAGAGTCTATTAGTTTTTAAGGCCGTTACATTAAACTAGTAAACGACCATGCGGCTTACCACCTTTAGGTAAGCCGTGTCTACCGTCGCCCATGAATAACTGCAACATCAGGGAAATTGCAGGTGCGTTGCCGACCTTTTAAAAAAGAGTAGACTCTTTTCTTGAAAGTTCCTAAGTCGTACTGGTCCGGAAAAATCGGTGGTAGTCGATTCCATACGGAAGTTCTGCGAGGCTGTCTCAAAGTGAGAGGCTACGCTTAATTTTTGAATGATTTGATGAATTTTTGAAGAATTGAATTTTCTCGTCCTCAAACCCGGTTGTGATTAATCTAAGTGTATTTTAGATTTTTTACATGGTACTACTGGGGACGGATCACGATACCTATCCGGTGTGAAATAGCAGCTTTATGTTTTTTTTATACCATAAAGGTGACAAACGAGCTCATAGTTTACCTTTATCCTCGATTAAGAATCAAAATGCATACGCGTTGTCGCCTCGGAGGACTAAGATGGAATGCCTTGTTTCCAGTGTAAAGAATCTCAGTGCTCTACACTCACCACACGAAACACAGCAGAATTAAGGTGTTATTTTACGCTATGTATGTATCGTGTGTGTGTGTGTGTGTCACCCCGTGTCGTGTGACCATGTGTGCAGCAACATAATGTAAAGCTGCCTGCGTGTGCGTGTGCGTGTGCGTGTGCGTGTGCGTGTGCGTGCGTGCGTGTGCGTGCGTGCGTGCGTGTGCGTGTGCGTGTGCGTGGTGCGTGGTGCGTGGTGCGTGCGCGTCGTGCGGCGCGCGGGCGTGCGTGCG